CTGTTGATGGACCTAGAGAGATGAATAGGATTTGATTATTATGTATTTCCATATGTGCATCACATTGGATCTATACTTTTGTATAGTTAAAATAACTTTTAAAAGATCTTATATAAATTCTATAACAGAAAAAGAAGCATTCCATCCAGGCTGAATGCTGTGTCTTTCTTTCCTCTTAGGATTTCATTACCAAGACCCTGGATCCTAAAGCTGCTTATTATATTGGCCTTTTGGATGCAAGTCACCGACAGTGGCGATGGGTTGATCAGACACCATACAATGAAAGTGCCACGTGAGTCCAGAGTTACCTAGAGGAGTCCTGGGTCCTGTAGCATGAGAAAACTTTAGGGTGTTACAGCTGTTGTTTGTGAAACTAAAAGAGCTCACTCCTGGTGTCAGTGCTGTGGATGGAGTTACTTTATCCCCATTTCCCCATCAAGGAGTCCTGTGAGACACATGTCACTGATAATCCAGGACAGAGTTTGAAGAGTGTAGGATGATAAGTACCCAGGGCATCCAACCAATGTGCTACACCATGGTGCATTTCATTATCCTTTCAGTCTCTCTCTCTATTTAACAATAGGATTTAATTTATTTTTATTTGTGTGTATATCTGTGTCTCTCTTGAGTGTGTGCCATGTGTATGTGGGTGCCCATGGAGCCCAGGAGAGGGTGTTGAATTCCATAGAGCTGAAGTCACAATGGTGTGACTGCACCAATCTATGTGCTGGGAATAGAACTAGCACACTTTCTGCAAAATCACAAGCACTTTTAATTTCTGAGTCCTCTCCCCAGCTCTCATTTATAGTGTTATAATAAAAATTAATGTCAACATAACTGATTATTTCTTTTAAATCAAAAGCCCCCATTCTGATATTGTTGTGTGTTGAATTTTGTAAGTATTTATAAACTCTAATATCTTAGTACGTTCCCACATTCTATCCTGATTTCTGTTGTGAGATATAGGTAGTAATGTTATTCTCATTCTCAGTCTTCAGAAAAGAAAAGTATGAATCGAGGATGTTTAATTGCTTGTCGTAGATATTAGAAATAAGTAGATTTTCTGGATATTTTAAACATCTTTTCAGTCTCTAAAATAAGACTCTTGTAAAATGAAAAAAAAAAAAACCTCTGTATTAAAACACAAGAATAAGGAGAGACCTTTTCGTTAAGTAAGGAAGCACATGGAATGACAGTCCCTGGGTACCAAGACCTAGGGATGAAGTAGAATAAAGTAGCCTCTGGGATGTGTTCTTGGAGAACAGGTAAGTAACAGGCTAAGAGAATATTGAGTGTGGTGGACCCTGTTTTTCAGGGATGTGTCAGTCTTGGGTGGTGGAGAACGGTTGATTTTGACACACCTGAATCTGATTTCCGCAAATTCCCACTGCATCCTCAGGCTTGCTTACTCTTGTGTTCTCTTTCCCAGCATTATTGTGGGAAATACCCTGATGCTCTTTCCTCCCTTCCAGGTTCTGGCACCCGGGTGAGCCCAACAATGACAAGAACAATGAAGAATGTGTTGTAATACGTCATCTATCTTCCAAATGGGACTGGAATGACATCCCTTGCAATTGTATGAGGAAGTCAGTTTGTCAGATGAAGAAAATATATTTATGAATCAAGCTTTTTCCATGGACATGGATTGCATTTTTGTCCAGCATTACACAGATACCTGCAAAGATCTTCTTGTGGAAGAGATGACCATAGAAATTTAGGTAGGCATCAACAGTTATCCATATGATAGTACTGGTCGACATATGTACTTATTTATTCATCCTTAGCTCTTTATATAATGAGAATTTCCCATATACCAGAGACTCGAGACTCAACAGGATCCCTTTTGGTATATGTGGAAGCACACTAGCTTCTCTGTCCATTCTTAAATTCCTAAAGTCTTATTTGATGGTAGAATTGTATGGTGTGGACCCTCCACCATTTTTTCTCTCCTTATTCCTCTGTCTTTAGATTAATGATTTTAATTGACAAATAAATTATGTATATTTACATTACACTGTCTTGACTTGATATTACATAACATTGTTGTCTGTTGTGTTTGTGTGGTGTTAGAACATGTAAGATCTTCTTAAGCAAATTCAGACAGACAGGGTGACATTGTTACCTATTGTCACTTTGATCCTCAGTGCTTACTCACATTTTCTCTGGCAGTTGTGCCCTTCCATCACCATTTTCTCATTTCTCCCAATACCTGCACTACCAGGACCCATTCAGGATCTTGGTCCCCATGGCTAGTGTGTCAGGTGCTGTGGGTGCCTTGAGGCTGATGTGGGCCTCTAATGGTGGCTGATCCTGGCTGGGTGACCTTCCTAAGAGCAAGTCTAAGAAGATGACAGCCAACCTTCTACTGGCACCGCCTGTTGTTCTTGGTGTC